AAATTTTGCAGCGCGATTGTCGCGCGCAATCGCCTATAGTTTCGAACATGCTTGAAATTTAGCGGCATCGCCGCGACAATAGAGAGTTTTTAAACTCAAAAGCATCACGTAAACGGCTAACGGCAGAGCTGAACCAATGACTTAAGAATTTTGTGCCCGATCTTATGCTTTTGGTAGTTAAAGTTAAATTATAAAACTACATTCATAAATCGTTTACTTAAAATTMTATTCGTTAAGTAATTATAATTTGATTCATCATTATATCTTTCTGTATTCGTCTTCACAATCAATCTTCGAGTTGTGTTGCCATTGGCGGCTTGATTTAGTTATCAGTAGGTCAACCTTTTATTTCCTTTTAGGTTGGCATTATCAAAGAAGCAATAACAAAAGTATTCAGCTTGGTTTTTCAGTTTCAAATAAAATGGGATCGCGGTATACACGAGTTGAGGTAAGGGTTAGGTTATTATATAATTTATGTTTCTACGAATGACGACTGTTTATATTGGCAGTGAGGAGTCTGTAAGAAAGGTTGATGCAGAGTTTTCAAAGTGCAACCATTTCCTTATCACATTCCTTGGAAACATTGTTAAACGAGGCTCATTTCCTCACTGTAAGTACATTACTGTACTGTTATTTAGGATTTGTTGACGTCTTCATTCCTATATCAAAATGATGGCCTGGTAAAACAATGAGAGAAGCGAATGCCATTAAACTTATTTTGAGAAAATGGCTGTTTGAATGATGATGTACGCGCGATATGTTTTTGCTATCGTGTACAATATGTGCAATAGAATCCAACATTTTCATCTAATACGCACGGACAACAGTGGTATGTCCTATACTAATTACATGGGCTTCCTGTGGAAGACCATGTCTAAAATTACCGACGACTTTCCTTCAACATGCTTCAAAGTGGTATATCCGGGACCTTTTCTATTGTGTTATTGTCCTTCATGTTCCTAAGCAACGATTCTAAGCTTGCCTCGTGCTTCATTTTGGAAAGTTTAGGATCGTTTAGAGATAGAAATCACGGATCTAGCTACTACAAATACGCTCAAATCTCTTACAAATCCACRTGTCATTCGCGGTACAGAAACACTAAATGATGTCGAGCGTTTTTCGAAAGGGCATTTGTAGGGATACCGTGAATTTATCGTTAATTTAAGCCAATTCAATTATATACGGCTATATACGGCTCTGCAATCACAAAAGACTATCTAAGGAATCCCAACAGGGTTATACTGAGGAAAATGAAATGATTGGAAGTATTTCAAGCGAAGAACATGAAAGACTATCGACCTGTGTTTACGCGGAATGGTTCCTCAAACATGCTTACTTCTTTCACAATATTATGCTTAATGCTATAAAGTACATTGCTTGTTTTATTATTTTTCATTAAAAGAAATATTTTTGCCTTAGTCTTAGTAATATTAACGTTATTAGGGCTCAATATAATACAATTCTTCGATTACCAAAATAACTATTGTCATTGACTTCTTCGTTTGCTGATTGTGATACCACAGGAAGCCCATGTAAACGATCGCTGATCGTCTAGTTGAAATAGAGCGACCTCAATTAACCCGATTCAGTACGAAACACTTTTACACTTTCTTAGTATAAATACTGAAAACAACGAGAAAAAGCACAAGTGCGCGCTTTGTAATGGGCATTTTCTCCCTTCCCTTTTGCTTTCATGACCGGGCTGTTCAAATCCCGTTTAGTGTTAATTCAGGATTAGCTCCATAGGTTTTG